AATGTTATGATCATTAGGTCACGATATTATCGTGACTTACGGAACACTGTTCTTCCACGTTGTACAACAGTGTAAGAGTGTTGACCACTGCTTGAATGGTAATGGTCATAAATGGAAAAAATTGCACTATATTAAAATTAGAAAAACAAATTTGGAAAGTTTGTCTCTTGCGTGGTCAACACTCAACAAATTAGTCTTTATCCCAGTCTTTGAAAAATCTTTCGTCGCAGAAACTTTGCTGAAAGATGGCAAGAAATTATTATTGGAGATTGGTCAATATATGGATCAAATCAGTATATTTTTACATATTATTAAATTCGATCCTTTACATTATATTGTAAATGATGCATTATTGATTATTTTATTCTATATATAATAATGACTGTGCTATTAAATGTAAATTCACATGGTTTATTAATGATTGTTTTGGACAAATTTAATTATTTGTAATAATTTTATAGATTTGGTCCATGGTTTAGATGGTAGAACAAATATGTATAATAATTTTTCAAAAATTGCTGGCAAAGCAACGATAAATATAATGCATTGTTGTAGAGATTTGAGATCCGTTCTTTTTAGTTACTATATAAACTAATTAATAAGTTCGTTTTACATCGTTTTAAGAAATTTAAAATCCAACTCTTTCTACGCTTGAAATGTAATGAATTATGGGTCCTTAATCACCATTACTTTAATTGTAAATCATTTGATAAAAAAATAAAAAATTAACAATAATTTCCTACAATCCAATTCCTCCTCCCAATGCATGATAATTTCTTAACCCAATATCATATATTAGACAATATTTATTATATCACAAATATTTTGAAAACCAAAATCATTCATTTTTACAAAATATGAATAATAAAACTAGTTAAAGATTTTTATTTACGAAACAAGTACAAGGCAATTAATGTTACCAACATAAGATTATTATTATTTTTTTTTAAGAGAGTACATGCTATGCGTTTGGTTGGTGAAATTTTGAAAATTGTTATTCCAAACGTATTCCAAAATTAAGGCAACGGATACCCATGTCATCCAAATGACATATTCATTGTGATTAGATTTTATATTCGATCAAATCGAGTAGAATTAGAATCTTATACTCGCCATTGTCTTGTTAAATAATTCGGATGCCAAAGGTGTTGTACATGTCATGTTGAGTCAGGAAAGACATGATTCCATGAGCTTTAGTAAAGTGAATGTCGAAAGGACTCTGATAATAAAGAAGGAAACGAATGTGAAAAACGTAAAGGGCGATCTAGACTTTTTCTTTTTTTTATTTGAATGTATTATCAGAGATTAAGATTATATATATATAATTTCGATTGAAATATAAATTAATTTGAAGATTTTTTACCGTTGAATAAAAGGGGAAAAAAAAAGAAACTTATACTCATAGTCTTACAATATATTTTCCTCACCCAATACCATACCACACTCGATATTATGTTGGGCGTGGGAATAAAATTTGGAAAAGAAAAGTTGTTTGTTGATATGATTTATTTTTTTAAATATATGCAAAAAAAAAAAAAAAAAAAATCCTAACTAAAAGTGAAGACTTTTTTTCTTCTCTTTGCATATTTTTTTAAATATATGCAAAAAAAAAAAAAAATCTGATGAAAAATGATATTATTAGTTAAAAATAGTAAATAAATCAGGAAACAATTTCGTCCTCTTTTTGGGTTTTTGGTTGTGCAATTTCAACATATACTTTTAGTAATCCAAAATGCTTTAGCTTTTGGAATTAAATCTATCACCGAAACTTTTAAAATGGGCGATTATTGCCTCCTCCTCATGGTTGCACACAGGTCTCCGACACAGAAATTATACCCAAAACAAAGAAGGATTAATGCTAGATTATGATATTTTGGCATTCAACAACTATATATTAGTGATGGACATCACAATTTCTTTTTTAATTATTTATGCTTCTTTTCGTTCTTTTAAGCAACAGAGAGGCCATATATATAAATATGTCATGGCTGATTTATTTATTTATTATTATTATTTTGGTTACTCGTTCTTGAAAAGTAAATGAAGTGTTTCTGTACACATAATTCAATTACGGAAAATAAAATACCTTATATATCACATTACTTACTACGGTGGCACTGTACAAGCTGCAAATCGGAAGATAATTTTTATTTTTTATATTATTATATCTTAATTTATTTTTCTATACAATATTTCATTTTGGTAACAATAAAAATCTAGTCTAATAATAATGAACTCCTTACACTTTTAAAATATCACGAATTGAAATTATTTTTCTAGAATATCTGAGGTAAAAAAAGAAAAACCCCCTTATCTTTGCGGTACCAGTACCACTAATAGTGGACTGCAAAATCCTATACATACGATTAAAAAATTATAAAAAATAATAAGGGCTAATTACCATAAAACTTTGTAAAAAAAATTTCTATCTTAAAAAACTCATCAATTTATTTTTAAATATTTCAAATTCAAAATAATATTTTTCTTATCAAAATACCTATTAGTTAAACTTTCACTTAATACCGGTTAACTATCGAATATTTTAATAAAAAAATATTATTTTAAGTTTGAGAAATTTAAAAATAAATTGATAGGCTTTTAAAATAGAAGATTTTATAGAAGGTTTCTTGATAATTATTCTTAACTTAAATTAAATTAAATCATTATTTTTCAAGATATGCATTTTTATTTTGAATGTCTATATTTCATTTAATTAATGCATCAAGATACGTTATACAATCATCGCATATTGTTTGATAACAATATTAAGTTTCAATTAATTAAAAAACTAGTAATGATGTTGGCGCTTTTTTTTTTTTTCCTATTAATATATTAAGATTTAAGAGATGACTAATATTTATAACCGTGCATATTCTTGTTTATTAATTTATTTATATGGTACCTCTTGAATTAATTTACAATAAGATAACATGAGTTTCATTTCAACTGTATTAATTAATTGAATCACATTAGCTCTTATAACTAATGAATAGTAAAACTAATTTATTAGATGATGAAATAAACGAGTCAATAAAAAGAAATAAAAACTCCTACACATAAGAATTTTTTTTAGTGAAATAAGAAAATAATAGCCAAAAGTTAGTGTCCCAATAGTCAAATAATCTCATAGAACTTTTTTTTTTTTTTCCGATTATAATAAAAAAGAACATGAACTTGATCATGGTATATGAAAAAAAAAAAGTGAAAATCACACTCAACCAAAAACCACCAAATCACCAAATGAGATTATCATCGGATAATTCCATTAGGTGATGTTTGGTCATCGGGAATAGAGTTGTGGGAATGAAAATGAAAGTTTTATTCCCACATTGTAGCTATTTAGTTAAAAAGAATGAAGTGAGAATGGGAATGAAAATTTACACACAACTTCATTCCCACATAATATGTGAGAATAAAAAACAAGGAATGGGAATGAATTTTTTTAAAAAATAATAATATATTTTATTTATTTATTATCTATTAATTACTTTTGTCACCATCATCACCACCACAACTACCACCACCACCACCATTACAACAACCACAACCACCATTATCTTCATCACCATCAGCACCACCATCACAACCACCACCACCACCACCATCACCGCAACCACCGCAATCACCATTATAACCATCATAATCACCACCACCACCACCACTACCACCATCACCACCACAACCATTACCACTACTAACATCATCACAACCATCACCACCATCACAATTATTATTATCACAATCACAATCATCATCACTACCGCAATCACTACCGCCACCGCCACCGCTAGAACCACCACAATCACTACCATCACTTTTATTATTTTTATAATTATTATAGTTTAATAAAATTATTTTTTAATCATTATTTATATTTGTATACAAAATCAGATATTAAAAAATTTAAATTGCATTCCGATTCCTTATTAGTATTCTAAACGTAGTATTGGAATACAAATACCATTCCGATTTCTGCATTCCCATTCCCATAACTTTATTCCCGATTACCAAACAATACCTAAGAAATCTTACGTGTAAAAATCCCTATCAATGTATTTTTAAATCTCTCAAATTCAAAACAATATTTTTCTTATCAAAACACTTAAATACCTAACTCCAACATAAAACTATTATTTTGAGTTTTAGAGATTTAAAAATAAATTGATAAAATTTTTAAATAAGAGATTTGTTTAAAGGGGTTTCTATAATAACAATAATAAAAGATATCCCATCTAGTTAGAAGTCATTATGTCAAGGCTACCTAACCTTTTTTTTTTTTTTTAATCTCTCTCATAAAGATGCAACTTCCAAGTAATTGATGATTACTATTTAATTTGAGCATAATAATATGATAAAGGTAAGCAAATAAAGGATAAATCTTTATTTTCTTCTTAGAGTAGCTTTTAAAGAGAAAGACATTTTTTTTAACCTCCAGGGCTTTGCAGGTTTAAATACTTAGATTAAACCCATCGCTATTATATTGAGCGTACAAGGTAAAGATAACTACTTAAAAATTTTTTTGTATACACAAAGACTCGAACCTAAAACCATTTCTTTAAGCGACTAGATCGCTTTTCATTCAAACTGATATTTTTAAGCAAAGGAAAGACATTTTTTTATCACCAATACCAAACCAAAGATATTGTCAGGCACCTTGCGTGAATACAGTTCACGATTAGATACTCATGCAATTTTTGAGGAGAACCTGAACAAGGAAATTCAAAATTGAGGAAAGGAAGTTACAGCGTTGATTTGAAGGAAATCACTGTGCAACTTCCTAAACGAAAGTCTTTTTGCCTTTCCTCTTCTATAAAGCGAAGCACCCTTCAGTTTCATCCTTCACAAAAGTTACGACCGTTCCTTCCGAGGAAAAAACCCTAGACTGTTTACAAACACTTTGACTCCTTTTCAACCTGTTTTTTTCTCTCTCTCCAAAACAAACAAACAAAAAAAGCCCAGCAATTGCCTTCAGCGGGTTAATTTCCTACGTAGTCATGACTATGAGGTCTCGAAAAACTGGCGACAACATCATTCTTGATCAAGAAAATATCTTACCGGAGCCAAAACGCAATCAGCGACGGTGGAAAATGGCTTACACGGCCATCTACTTCACAAGGCTTCTTGTTTCCCTGTCCAAGAAAGCTCTTGAAAGCCAGACCAAGATCTTGCGCTCCCTATCCTATGTTGCTATTGACGTTCATGATGATACATCCCCTCGTGGGAACCTTGTTTCTTTAAATAATGTTGATCAGAGAACTCTCACTGATATGGTAAAAGAAAAGAGCTTTGCATCTCTGAACCAATTGGGAGGCGTTATGCAAGTTGCCGCAATTCTCGAAACTGATGCAAAGGATGGTGCAAAAGAGGCTGATGTTGCTCGTAGAAGGGATGTTTTTGGTGCAAATAGGTTTAAGAAGCCTCCTGCAAAAAGCTTTCTAAGCTTTGTTCTCGAAGCATTCAAGGATCCGACCATTATCATTCTTTTGGTCTGTGCTATTATGTCTCTTGTGTTTGGTATTAAACAGCATGGCCTGAAAGACGGGTGGTACGATGGAGGAAGCATTATTGTCGCAGTTGTTCTTGTTATTGCTGTCTCTGCTATCAGCAACTTCAAGCAATCCAAACAGTTTGAGAAGTTATCTGACGAGAGCAGTGATATAAATGTGCAAGTGGTGAGAGATGGGAGGCACCATCATATATCTATTTTCGATGTGGTAGTGGGGGATGTGGTGTCTTTGAAGATTGGAGACCAAATACCTGCTGACGGGTTGTTCTTAAATGGTTATTCTTTGAAGATAGACGAATCTAGCATGACTGGAGAAAGCGACCACGTTGAGGTAAATGGCAGCAAAAACCCTTTCTTGCTCGCTGGTACAAAGGTGACTGATGGCTTTGGTTTCATGCTTGTTACCTCTGTTGGCATGAATACAGCATGGGGAGAGATGATGAGTTCAGTAAGTCGTGATTTGGATGAGCAGACTCCATTGCAAGCTCGACTCAACAAGCTCACTTCTTATATTGGGAAGGTTGGATTGACAGTTGCCGTTCTTGTTCTTGCGGTTCTGATGATAAGGTACTTTACAGGAAATACCAGAGATGATAATGGTCGGAAAGAATACAATGGGAGCAAGACAAAGGTCAATGATGTGCTGGATTCAGTTGTGGGCATTATTGCTGCAGCTGTGACTATTGTTGTGGTGGCAATTCCAGAAGGTCTGCCTCTAGCTGTAACCCTAACTCTGGCTTACTCTATGAAGAGGATGATGAAAGACAATGCCATGGTTCGCAAACTCTCCGCTTGTGAAACAATGGGTTCAGCCACAACAATCTGCACAGACAAAACAGGCACTCTTACTTTGAACCAGATGAAGGTTACAGAGTTTTGGCTTGGGAAAGAAGCAATTGAGGCTGATGCTTTAACTGAAATAGAGACGGAGGTCTATCACTTACTACAAGAAGGGGTTGCTTTAAACACAACAGGTACTGTCAACAAATCACATGCTACTTTAGTTCCTGACATTACTGCTAGTCCAACAGAAAAAGCAATACTTTCTTGGGCTGCGATGGATTTAGGAATGGATATCAATGAAACAAAGGGAAAATGTGAAATAATACATGTAGAAACCTTTAATTCTGAGAAAAAGAGAAGTGGAGTGTTGATGAGGAAAAACAATGAGAAGGCAATTCACACACACTGGAAGGGAGCTGCTGAGATGATACTAGCCATGTGTTCAAATTATTATGCCAGGAATGGAACCCTAAGAGACTTGAATGAAGAAGAGAAAGTGCAATTTGGGGCCATAATTCAGAGTATGGCAGCCAGAAGCCTTCGATGCATTGCTTTTGCCCACAAAAAGGTTGTAGAAGAGAATAGCCAGGCGTCTGCGAAGCTTGAAGAAACTGGAATGACCTTTATGGGGCTTGTGGGTTTGAAGGACCCATGCCGCCCAGGAGTCAGAGCGGCAGTGGAATCATGTAAGAATGCAGGAGTGAAAGTTAAAATGATTACTGGTGACAATATACATACAGCGAGAGCTATAGCTATTGAATGTGGGATTCTCAATCCTGAGCAAGACATGGAGAATGGTGCTGTAGTAGAAGGTGTACAATTCAGAAACTACTCACCTGAAGAGAGAATGGCCAAGATTGATGAAATACAGGTTATGGCAAGATCATCCCCTTTCGACAAGCTTCTCATGGTACGGTGCTTGAAGGAGAAACGCCATGTGGTAGCAGTCACTGGTGATGGGACAAATGATGCCCCTGCTCTGAAGGAAGCAGATATTGGGCTCTCCATGGGAATTCAAGGGACTGAGGTGGCAAAGGAGAGCTCAGACATTGTCATATTGGATGATAACTTTACTTCTGTGGTGACTGTGTTGAGGCGGGGAAGGTGTGTCTACAACAATATTCAAAAGTTCATTCAGTTTCAGCTCACTGTCAATGTTGCTGCCCTTGTCATCAACTTCGTTGCAGCTGTTTCTTCTGGAAAAGTCCCTCTAACTGCAGTCCAGCTGCTGTGGGTTAATCTCATAATGGATACGTTGGGAGCACTAGCCTTGGCCACTGAGCAACCCACCAATGATCTCATGACAAGGCCACCTGTGGGTCGATCAGCGCCACTTATCACCAAAATCATGTGGAGGAACCTCCTTGCTCAGTCCCTGTACCAGGTCACCATATTATTGACTCTACAGTTCAAGGGAAAAGCAATATTTGGTGTGGATGAGAAAGTTAAGAACACCCTCATATTCAACACTTTTGTCCTCTGCCAAGTGTTTAATGAGTTCAATGCAAGGAAGCTGGAGAAGAAGAACATATTCAAAGGGGTACATAAGAACAAGTTATTCTTAGCAATCATTGGAATTACCATAGTTCTTCAAGTGCTGATGGTGGAGCTTCTGAAGAAGTTTGCCAGCACTGAGAGGTTGAATTGGGGGCAGTGGGGTGCTTGCATTGCCATTGCAGTTCTGTCTTGGCCAATTGGTTGCCTTGTGAAGTGCATTCCAGTTTCTTGCAAGCAGACACAAAGCCACTAATCAGTTATCCTTCTAGTTCATGGTAGATTTGACAAAAGAATGTTTAGATAATTATGATTTTCAAAGCTTTCAATTGTTAGCTGTTTCTTTTAGAGCATATATGGAATCAAGTGAATCTAGTCCTACATTTTATATCAGTATGCAATGAATGGAATTTCCAATGCATCAGACTGTTTTATTTTTTCTTTTAGATAATATATGGAACAAAGAAAGTTTAGATTTTTTTTTTTCAAAGCTTTCGTTTTTGTTAACAGTTTGTTTTAGAGAATATGGAATCAAGTGGATCTAGCTGCAGCATTTTATATATTTATGTTTCGAACAGAATTTCCAATGCATCAGAAAGTTCTTGTGCTTATTTTCTGTTCGCTGCTAAAAGCAGACACCAATAAAAGATCAGATAAAAATAACTAAAAGTACGTCCATCGCTGAGGTTGCAATGTTAAGTCATTGCAGCCTAGGCTGCTTTTTGCAACAAGTAATTATAGTCATATGAACTACGCATCCAAATCAGAACTTTCATAGATTTGCTTGCAGATGTATCAGAAATACTTTCATAGATGGTCTGTGAAAATTCTATCTACAAGAGAAGCTAAGAGGTAGAGAACTCATCATTTCTGCTATAAGTTAGAATAACCAAAGCTCCATCCATGTTACAGTATGCCCCATTTCTTTAGGTGATAGTAGTGAAAATGTAATTTGATAGTACTGAGGCACGAGTTACTCATATAGAACGTTAATAAACATATAGCTGATCCTATAGGAGGTTAAGAATATATATAAGAGCAAAATGTAGATAACATGACAGTTCAGCATGTGAGCATAGTGTAAGATGTACATCTATGTGCATCCATACACTCACAAAGACACTATATATAAGTGTGCGCACATGTGTGTATCGTATGTATGTAAATGATGGATCCAGGATTCGGGTCTTGGAGGGGCCAGAACTCAGAAAGAAAAGTTTTCCTCTAAACAAACACCAGTGAAAATGTTGTTTGATTGTACTAAGGCACGAGTTACTGATATAGAAGGTCAATGAGCAAATATCAGAGAAAAACATAGCTGACACGAAAGCTCAGCATTTGAGCAGAGTGTAAGGCTTACACTTACGTGAATGCATGCACTCACTCAGACTATATGTGCGTGTGTGCACGTGCACATGCACATGCGTGCGTAACTGTGTATGGTATGTATTTATGTTATGGATCCAGGATTCAAAAAAAAAAAAAATCCCTAAACAAACAAATTGTTCCCACTGATTTTAGTAGTACTCATAAACATTCTGTTCAAAGTGACAAACAAACCCATTTTTTCAATGAGATGATGGAATATATATCTGACACCCTAATTAAGGAATATTCACTAACCTTTAGGGCATATGAGGGCATATGAGGGGTCCCAGGATAGAAGTAAGACAAGTTAGGGATCTAAAGCCATATAAAGAAAAGTAAAGAACCTGGCATGAAAGAACTTGCATGGGATTGAAGGTTTTGTATTCCATTAAACCACAAGCTACGTGGAATTGATTTTTTTTTTTCCTTATCTCAGCTTTCGGGGGGCCAGGGCTGAACACCAAGAATCAGAATTCTCAACAAAGTAACTAAAATGCTGAGGAGAGTTGAAAGTGCTGGAAGTAGGCCAACGAAACTAGAATTATGACCAGTTGAACAAAATGGCGAAAGTGTGTGAATTTTAGAGAGTTGCAAGCAAGGTCCAACACAATTACAAATTACTTTTCAATAGCGAGGATATTAAATTCAAAAGAACGTTATGTCTCTTTCCCTACCAACAACAGTGCTATAAAGTATACTATCCACAAGATGTGCATAACATGGTGCACTTTTAAACATCACATTGCTGCCTTTCAATCACGAGGTATAGGTATTCATTTACTGAAAGATAAGTATTTAGTACATGGATTTTCAATATTCACTTACTGAAAATTCAGTTACGATAAACTTCCTCATCCTATTTCTCGAAATCTTTACTTATAATCTCGTAATGATGTAAAATAACACAACATCATGGAAAAAATCATCTAGATAACACCTCCTAGGACCTTTACTCTAAAAGTTTAAGCTAAAAAAAATCTTAATATTTGTTTAACCAGTTCTATTTCTCAGTTCCTCATGTATGTTTGGCCATGTGTGTGCACATTTGTAGATGCATCGTCTCGCCCTCATGCAACTTCCATCTACATAGGCTTTTTCCCTCTCTAGTACATGTGGAACCATGGCAGAAAAATAACCAAAAGGTAAACAATTGCCAAAATATATAAAAAAATAAAAAATAACACAGAAAACTCCAAATCTGATTATATTATGATCTGACAGTGAGAACAAAATAAGCATATTCTAAGCGAGTATTAAGGTCATTTTATTTAGAACTTTAATTTGTGTAAATGGTAAGGCTGAATACTTGGCACAATACCAACCATTAGACACATTCCATAACAAAGTGTCTCCATCCACCCAAAAACAGGAGGAAAATGGAGGAATGTTGGATCAGAAGTAATTGAATCCAAATAATACAGTTTCGAAAAGTAAAAGCCTTATGCTTTCTTATAGCCGTGCTTCTCATTTTTAAATTCTAATACTCTTAGAGTACTTGAGAAGTTGGAGTTAAATAGCCCTTCTTTTTTAAAACTGTCTTTGTTCTCATATTTATATCTATTATTTAGAATAAGAAAGTGCTGTTTCTCACACACTTTAATATGCAATGATGTCTCTATATGCTGCTGTCTTTCCCATTTTATTTCCAAATTCCTAGGGAACACTCTCTTACTATGACCTCCATTGAAAAACATTATTCAATTCTGAAAAGTTAACTCACATGAGTCAACAAAAACATGAGATGAACATCATAACACTGATTCTACTCAGCACAAACTGCTAATATCAGCCACGGAGTCCATAATAAGCTAAATAAAGCATCTTTATTTGATAAGAAAGGTATCCAAACCATTTCCGCTGACTGACGCCAACTTTCAAACAACCCGGCCCACATAACCGGATAAATTTCCAGGGCGAAATCCACAGGCATGCTAAAATGTAGAACTATTTGCACCTAGGGGAGTTGGAAATTGGACCAGATGCATCATGTGCTCAATCCGATAACTCAAGCAAGGGGTTAACACTAGGCCAACACACAGGGCTTGAACTAATAGATATAATTCCAAGTTCCTACGCTCCTCATTCATTTGAAACTAATAGCTAATTAAACAAATTAACTTCTTGAATTGCTCATTCAAGAAGAACAAGAATACCAACTTTCAAAATCCAATAGTGAATCTAATGCCCAGCAGTATGACCCTCAAAAACCAATTCACATTTCTGGGTATCCTCAAATGTTATTAAAATAAACGCTAATAAATTTTAATTTGGCCGATTTCTATGTATCTTATTCAATCTGCAATTTCACCTTGATTTTTTTTCCCCGTTTTGGGGCAACAGATTGTAGACACATACCATCTTGACAGTATAAAAAATGACAGAATCAATATTTAATGGGCTGTTCTTATAATAATTACGTGGGCACCCAAATAACACAACAAACAGTACAGAAAAAATTAAAGAGACACAGAAGGAACACCTTACATTTTCTGAGGCTGTACTTAAAAAGGAAATGAAATGTTTAACCGGCTTCTGTCTGTTTAGGGGATTCTAGGTGTCTTTCTCAAGTCTCAATCTACCATTGAGTTGGGACCCATGAAAGGTGATAAAGCTCCAAGCTTTTACCTGTGTAGGTTTTTAGAAAGAGGAACAATGTCTTGATGAGCACTGTAGCCAAGACAACGACAAAGGCTTCTTGCTTATATCTCAGTTTTTGACTTTCGGTTTACCCGGACGTTGCAAGTGCAAACTACAAACTCCAAACACTCGATAAAATAGGAATGTCTAGGAACATAAAACTAACTGCATTATATATTTCAAGACCCACTCAATGTTAAACCAAGAAAAGAAAACGTTGGTTTATTTATATTTAGACCTCATATTTTTTAGATTTTTTTTAATTGAAATCCTCTATTTTTTTTATTATCTTAATTGAAACTTTTTATTTTTTGAAATTTATTATCATATATCTTTTGTTATAACATCACCAATTAGGGATTGACACATGACATTATAAAATAAGAATTCTCAATCATGTGTCAATCATTGATTGGTGTTATAATAACCGAGAATTTGAAACAACAATCTCAAAATAAAAAATCTCAATAAAAAAAATTTAAAGAATAAAGAATCCAAATATATATATAAAAAAAAAACTGAAAAAAAAAACAGAAGTATCATGATTTTTTTTTCGATTGAAAGTATCTCCATTGCATTGATGAAAACTAATTTTTTTTTTTCGTTCTACGAAAATTTAAGGACATTTCTCATGTTGGCTTGCTATATTTAACGAATAAATTTTCTTAAATGTTGAGCTTAATATTGAATATAAAAAAAGAAAATATTTTTTAAAATATCAAAACTAAAGGTTAAAAAGAACAATTAGAGTGATAACAAATAGTAATTGCTTGTAGACCAGAGTGAGTGTAACACTTAGTACTTACTGTTTTGTTATGCATGTTAGGCTGCGAAAGGGACATTGTAAAAAACAAAAGAAAAGAGATTATAAATTGCAATATTCAATTAAGTATGTCCAATAACAACAAAATTTTATTTAGCCAAAGTTATGTACATAATTTTTTTGGATACAAAGTTTTAAAACTTTAAACATAAAATGCATTACATGAAAAATGTCACATGAAAGTAAATTGAAAAACCAGATTGTAATTAATAGAACTAATACAGCAAATTAAAACCATGACTTCAAAGTTCATTTGTTGATGGTGGAAAACCTACAATAATAATAATAATAATAATAATTAAATAATAATTAAAAACAAATGTAAAGGCATGACAATGTTTATGAATTGTTTATTTATAAAGATTAAATTTTTTTTCATATATTTATCCTTTGTTGATTTTTGTAATTGCTATCCTATCTTACTCATT